CATACTCTGGCTTGAAGAAGCCCTGACGCTCCCACCAAGGGTACCAGGCAGCCTCCACATACTGAGGGCTGTAGGAGTCAGGCATGGTGCCACTTACATCTGGGAGAAAAGAGAAGAGGGCTTAGTGAAGCTGGAGAGGCTCAAGTTAGGATAGGAGGAACAGGCCATAGGACAGGCATAGTGCAGCTGTTCTGCGAGCCTCACTAAGCAGGGCAAAGGCCAAGAAAAACCAAACAGAACACAGAAAGCAGCAGCCAGGTGGGGCTCCTTCCCTAGCCACTACCTTTCTTTTCCCCGGGTTGGGTAGGGAGGTCATAGGTAATGACCCCAGGGTCCTTTTTCTCCTTCTTCTCTGGTTTTGGTTTCTTCTGTTCAGAAGGAAGAAGATGCAAACATCAGCCCTCAGCAAGGCTTCCACCTCCCTCCAGCCCCATCCTTTGCCTCCTACCTCCCCTGGTGGGGGCTGCTGCTGGGCCTTCTGCTTCTGCTGGAATTTCTCTAGCTTCTCCCGTTTCTTTGCTTCTTTCTTGAGCTGAGCAGCTGTTTTTGGGGGTGCAGTGACTTCAAGACCTGGGGAGACACAGAAATCCAGACTCAAGGCTGCTGGGCTCCTCTATGAGCAGCGCTAGTCTAAGAAGGGCGATTTCTATGGTGCCAGGGCTCAAGCCTCTTATCTCCCACCTTCCCCTTCCACAGGCCCCCCACCCTAAAGGCCCAGGCATTTCTAAGATAAAAAGCAAGTTACATGGAGTGCTTGCTCCAGAGGGGCCTTTTGTCCCTCCCTCTGCCATCTCCTGTCCTCCTCACCTGGCTGTTGAGGGACAGACCTGGCCCCCGAGTACAGGACCACTTCTCCTAGCACAGCCCGGAATTCCGGTTGCCGGACACAAGTGTTAAACCAGCGAGTCACATTACCCCAGATCCGGCGGACAGCGGGGTCCAGAACCTGAGAGGAAAACAACAAAAAACAATTCTCTAAGTCACCCTGCAGTCAAGTCTGGTGGACACGCACCTGTCCCTCCCACAGCCCCAGTGACTCACGTATCGGAAGGGCAGCAGTAAGGCTGTCACGGCAGCTAAGTCTGCCAGAGTGGGCGCATCCCCGGCCAGGTAGGTGTGCAGCCGAAGCCAGTCCTCCAAGGGGCTCAAGGCCTTGCCCAGGGCACCCAGGGCAGCCTAGCAGGACAGGAAAAGGAGAAGACAAGGCTTGCATGCTTCTATCCCAGAGATTCTCAACTTTCCTAATGCTGTTGCGGTGACCCCAACTAGAAAGTGATTTCCGCTGCCACTTTATAACTGCGGTCTCACTACTGCTGTGAACTGTAAACACCTGTCTTCTCCAGTGGTCTTGGCACTGGAAGGGTTGTTTGGGGTTATGGATTGAGAGCCATTCAGTCTCCCTACTCCCATGATCACCAACTCTCAGGCTAATTCCTTTCTCATCCAAACGGTCATCATAAAAATACAATTGTTAGGTGTGGTGCTGCTTGCCTTTAGTACTAGTTCTTGGGAGGCAAAGGCAGGGGGATCTCTCAAGTTTAAAGTCTGTCTACAAAGTTAAGACCCTGTCTCTAACAACAAAGCTCTGTCTGACTGGGAGAGCAGGTCAGAGAGTGTTCAGCATGTAGGAGGCCCTAGGTGTGAGCTCCACCCACAAAAAATACAGATTATAGGACCAGAGAGACGGACGACATGGATGTTGCTCTTATGGAGACCCCAAGTTTGATTCCTGTTACCCATATAGTACTAACACACACACACATACAAGCATTTGTGTGTGCACAAGCGTGTTCAGTGGAACCCATCCAGCACTAAAGTTAAAGGATTATAGGAAGCAGCAGTCACTGTCAGGTCTGGGGCATCCACAAGTATGTCCTACCAAGTAGACACAGCTACCCTGCAGGGAAGGGGCTCTGTATTAACCATCGGGATACCAAGAAGCACGGCAGGGGTATGCTATTCACCCACCATGCGCCGGCAGGAGCGAAGCTCTCCATTAAGGCACACGTCTACCCTGGAAGGGCTCACAGAAACAGTCTGCAGGTACCTGTCTTCTCCCATCTCCTCCTCCTACTGCACTGCTCCCAGATCTCCCCTCAGCAGCCACCATTTCTCCCTCAGTCTTCCCACAGCTCAAAACAACAACGACTGGCATCTCTCAGGCTGTCAACCTTTCACTCCCGGGCTAGAACGGGTCAACCCCACACAGCCTAGTCAGTGTCATTTGGGAAGACGGGACCTCTACTGAGAAGGCGTCCCTGCCAGATTGGCCTGTACGAAGTCTGTGGGGCATTTTCTTAGTTAACGATTATTTGGGGCCTGTAGCAAGCTGCGTGGAATCACAACTGATGGAGATGTATAATCAACTCCTATGGCTAAAGTCTGATATATGCTATGATCACGCAATGATTATCAGCTGCCTGCATATGCGTGAACCTATGGGCAGTGCCCACCTGGCAATCAGGGATTGGCAGCCCATGCCTACTTAAGGGCTGGGAGAGGTTTGCCCGAGGAGGGAGGTCAAGGAAAGAGAGAGAAAGAGAAGGAGATAGATTGCTGTGAATAAAGTCCTGGAATAAACTGCAGTGAGAAGAGCTCCGGTGGTCGTGTCATTCCTTGCGGGAAGAGGGTGGCCGTGACAGGGGCCAGTCCATTGCGGGTGACGCCACCCTGGGAAAGTAGGCTAAACAGTGTCCCTCCACGGCCTCAGCTTCAGCCTCCAGTTCCCGGCCTGTGCAACCTGAGAACTGCACACCGAAATAAGTCCTTTCCTCCCCGAGTTGCTTTCGGTCCTATCGTTTTATGACGGCAACTGAAACCCAAGGGCCCTCGGAAACTTTAAGATGCCCGGTACACGAGTGCGCTTCAAGCCATTCCGCCAGGGTTCCAGAGGCCAGGTTTAAACACACACACTCCCCCAGCAATTCGGCAAACGCTGCAAACACGCTGCCAGGCACCCGGGGGAAGGATTACATCATCCTGCATTCTTAGACAGAAACTAAGGCTAAAGTACTCCAAGAGTTGCCGAAGTCACCACGCCGGCAGCAGACGCGGATTCGATCACTACTTCCGCACCTGACACCCTCTCTGAGGATCCTCTGCAATTCCCCTTTTCTGAGAATCCCTCCTCCCTCCTCACCTGGGGATCCTGCCCCGGACTCCGGAGTCCCAGCGCGGGCAGCGTCGCCCCGCAGGCCGCCGGCACGAGCTCGGTGTCGGCGTAGCTGACCCACTGCTGGACGAGGACGGCCGCCCGGCTGCCCCCGGGACCCCCCAGGCCTGCCGGCCACAGCAGCTGCGCCACAGCCGGGGCGCCCCACACCCACAGCCCGCCGGGCCCCTGCTCCAGGGCGGGCAGGCGAGGCGGCGGCAGCGGAGTCCGGCTGCTCGGGGGAGGCTGCAGGCAGATGCGGGGGTGCGGGCCTCCCCACCCGGGGCCGTCGCCGGCTTCCCCGTAGCGGGCGGCGATGAGGGCTCGGAGGCTGGGGAAGGCGTCGGGGTGAGGGGAGACGTAGAGGATGGACATGGTCGTGCAAGGGGCCGGTGCCGAGGACAGACCGGGCAGGGAGCCCTAAGCACGTGCGGCGAGGCCCGGCTGGGTGGCGGCGAGCGGCGCCCGGAGGAGGGGGCGGGGCCCTGTCGCCCGCCCGGGGCTGGGAGAGGCGGGTAGCGGACTCAAGGAGGCGGTCACTCCGGGCCGGCGGTTCTCCTCAGCCGGCCACGGCCACAGCCCCCAGGGCGGCCAGGGTGGAGGCGGCGGGTGGCGGAGGCAGCTCTCCCGCTGTGGGAGAGCGGGGCCGGGCGAGCGGGACCCACGTGTCCCCCTTTGTGACAGCGCGCGTTTCCGGGCCTGGGTCCTCGCGGGGCGGCCGGGCCCCGCCTGTGCGTGCGCGGTCCCGAGGGCCGGGCCTCCGTGTGCAGCCCGAGCTGAGGGACAGCGCGAGCGGCAAGCGTCACGTGCGTGACGGGGGAACGTGTCCGCGGGGACAAGTCTGTCCTGGTCAGGCTCCTCCGCGGCACCCGGGGTCCTCGGTCAGGCGCGGCCGCGGGCACCCCTGGGTCCTCGGGTCAGGCGCGGCCGCGGGCACCCCGGGTCCTGGGTCAGACTCCGCGGCACCCGGGGTCCTCGGTCAGGCGCCGCCGCGGGCACCCCGGGGTCCTCGGATCGGCGTGCCGGGCTGATCCCAGCCACCGCCTCTTGCAGGACGCCGGAGCCTGCGGTTGTTGTCAGCCGGCGCCGTAGGACGTGAAGTTCAGCACTGCGTCGTGCGCCCTGCACCGCTTGTTTACATCTTCTGCACCCAGAAAGTGTGCGGATCGGCTTTGTTGAAGGAATCCGGCATTGCCACTGGCTGGAGCCGAGCGCTCCACCAGCTCACGGGACCCTGGGATCTAACCAGCCCGAAGTGCTCAGAGTTCTTTCACGTAGAGGGAAGGGCAGGGGAATGGGAAGACGCACTAAAGCAAAAGGCTAGAAATAGAAGTTCGCAGCGCTGTTGGGCGCCCTTGGCTTTTCTTTTTAAGACTTACAGTGTCCTGCCTGCATATTTGCCTGCAAGCCAGAAGAGGGCATCAGATCACACTAGATGGTCGTGAGCAACCACATTTTGTAGTTGCTGGGAATTGAACCAGAACCTCTCGAAGATCAACAACCAGTGCCCTTAATCCCTGAGCCATCTCTCCAGCCCGCGTTTTTATTACATTTTTACTGTGTGCACTTGAGCGCGTGTGGAAAAAAAAAAATCTTTTCTGTTTCCAAAAAGTGGGTCCCAGGAGTCAAATCAAGTCATGGTTGGCGGCTGGCGCCATTTACGGAATGAATCATCATACTGGCCAAGGTATTACAAGCTTTAGGGCGGAAGTACATAACGCTGGTAACTTGGGTTTAATTCCCAGCCGGAGATGGGGGAGGGGGATATGTGGAGAACAGGAGTGGAGACGAAACGGCCTTTCCCACCTCCCTGTCCAAAACAGACCACAAAACCAGAACTCAGTTTCCATCATAAATTTTATTCCCGATGCGGGACAGATTCTTTCAGTCCCCCCCCCCCCCCAAGTGTATCACATGTTGCCCTGAAAAGGCCTAGGAGGCTCTCCCGTCTCGAGGGAAGGGAGAGGGAGGGAGGGACCAGGAACATTTCAGTTCCCAGCTTTACCCTCCCTCGCCAACAGAGGGCAGTTGCTCCCGACTAGTATCCCTTTCATCCATTCAATTAAAAAAAAAATAAATCGTTAACAAAACAAAACACACCTGAAGGACTGGGCAGGGTGTCCTTGTCCTTTGTTGGACAAGTTATGGTCACCAATGGGAAAGGGAGGGAGGGGACAGGGACGAGGGCATCACTGTTTCTGCTGAAGGGCTTCCTTCCTGGCTGCATCCTGCAGCAGCTGTGTGTCCACCTCGTCTGCTGGCAGCTGCACATAGCGGACCACCGAGCCCCTGATGAAGCAGTTCTTGACGGATAACTAGACAAACGTGAGAGCACCCCCATGACCAATGTGCCCCCCAGCCGCCCAGGAACTTGGGCTTCAAAGGCTCCCTGGCCAGCCCCAGCTCACCATGTGCGGGTACTTCTCAGGGTCCGTGACACTGATGTCCGTCAGTTTGATATTGAGATACTAAGGAGTAGGAACAGCATCAGGTGCGGCTCCTCCTCCACACTCCCACTTCCTTCCCCAAGAACAGACTGTGAACCTTTATCTCACCTGGTCCACGGAGTGCAGGGTTCCACAGATGCTGTCGGAGGCAAAGAGGAGAGAACCAAATTACTTTACACTGAAATCAGAATGGAGGGAACGTTCGAGCTACAAGAATATGGGGGAGGAGCCGGGCCATGGTGGTGCAGGCTGGCCCTGTGTTCTAAATCTTCCTGTCTCCACCCCCTACATGTTAGAATTAGATGAAAGCCACCGTGATGAACTGACATGCAATTTTTCCTTACCCTGTCGTCACCCTGTGAACCATATGATCATTTATACGCTGTGCACGAGGAAACAGATTACAGAGCCTGCTGGGGGTGTTATATACAGCTGCCTAGAAAGCCAGGCAGTGTCCTGTTGTCTCGAAAGACCAAATAAGAGCCTGGGGGAGGAAGCTAAGGCCTTGAAGCCAAAGGGAGAACATCTGTGAATTCTGAGGAGGGAAAGATTAAAGCCTCTGAGACTGGCTCATTTCAGACCCGTCTCTCCTTACACCAACGTATCCACAGCTACTACTCAGCGGTCGCAGGCCAGGCCTGTATTTGGCTTAATGTCTGTATTTCCTTAAGACAAGTTCTCACCCTGGCCCAGACTAATCTCAATCTTGTAGCAATCCTTCTGCCTCCACTTCTGAAGGTCTGGAACTATAGACAGGATCCATCATGTATAGTCATCTTTTTTATGGTTTTTTTTTTCCAAGATAGGATTTTATGTGTGTGTAGCTTTGGTGTTCTAGAACTACCTCTTGGGGTTGGCCTTGAACTCAGAGATCCTCCTGCCTCTGCCTTCCGAGTGCTGGGATTAAGGGCAGTGCACCACCACTGCCCAGCTACAGCCATCTTTTAAAAGTAATTAATATCATCCAGGAATTAAGAGCAGTCATGTAAATTACCCAAATTAGAACCAAATTATCAGGAATATCAGCCCAGATTGGCCTGACTCCCAGAAGCAATAGCTAACCACCACCCAACCCGCAAGACTATTTTTGTAGGTAGACCAGGCTGGCCTCAAACTCAAGAGATCCTCCTGCCTCTGCCTTCCAAGTGCTGGGATTAAAGGTGTGAGCCACCCCCGCCCGGCTTTAGCTTTATTACTTATGTGCACGCGTGCACCTGAGGCCAGGAGAGGGCACCAGAGCCCCTGAAGCTAGAGTGGCTCTTTGTGACTCACCTAATGCAGCCACGGGGACTCTAGTTCTCTGACAGCAGTGAGCTCTCCAGCTCCACCAACAGCCGCCTCTACACACTGTCTGCTTCGGCGCAGAGCCCAATGGATACACAAAGGTCACTAAAGTTACTCTATTCTTTCTGCTACACTTATCCTAACGGCACAGAAACAAGCCAGGCTGGCCCTCAGTTCCCCTTCCCTTGGATGAGGAAGGCTATCAACTCCAGTGCTCCCATGCCACCTTATTTTATAATTATCAACTATTTGAACAATCTTAAATCTTCCAGCCTGGTCTAAAAGCTAGCTAGTTCCAGGGCAGCCAGAACTGTTAAGCAGAGAAACCCTGTTTTAAAAAGACAAAACAAATCAAAACAAAACCAAAAAAGTTAGGCAGTGCTTTTAATCCCAGCATTTGGAAGGCAGAGGCAGGCGGATCTCTGGTAGTTCGAGGCCCTGTCTAGAAAAAAGACAAAAACCATAACTCTTCACAACTTCAAATCCCAAGTTTTACTTCTTCACTCCCTGCATTCAGGGAATCCCCACTGGTCTGCTGACCTGAACACTTGTGCGTGCCTTCCAGCTAGACTCATACAAACGAAAGGCCTTAACTACTTTGCACTCAAGTCTGGGTCAGCCCCTTACTTCACCAGTGACCATAACCATCTTACTTGTCCACACCCGCCTTAGAACCAGGGTTCTTAAGCACTGATGTGTGCTCAAAGGTTTCAAGAGTCTACAAGTAAAATGCTTTAAAATGAAACATGAGATACTAGGGTATCTGAAGGCTGGTGAAGAACCTTGATACCACGGTATCTGAGGGCTGGTGAAGACACATGAGATACTAGGGTATCTGAGGGCTGGGGAAAAAGTTCTATTGGTAGGGCGATTGCTGAGCGGAAAGCTCTGGGTTCAATCCCCAGCACCACACGAAAGAAAACATACTTGCATGAACATCTCTGCAGCGATGAAGCGTTTGAAGCAAATGGTACAGGGAGGCGGGGGATGCAGACGCAGTACAGAAGGGACCGCGTAAGTGGTCTGCTTACATTTTAACTACATGGGCACTACGCCAGGCATATTAAACGCAACTGCTTTCCTTACCAATACATCTCATTCTTATACTAATGGGTTTACCATGGAAGAACTCCCTACTGAATTTTTAATTAACCTCTTACATTTTGAGGGGTTAATGCTAGATACTTAAATTGTTTGGCTATTTATACAAGCAAAGCTACAAACATTTTTATATATTTTTCCAAGTACAATAAGCTTATGTATTAGCATTATTATTTATTTAGCGTATTTTAAAGAGCATAGTACAAACTGCCTGCACATATATATTTGTTTAACAAATCCTTTTTTTTTTTTCTCCCAAGAGAGGATTTCTCTGGGTGGCTCTGGCTGTCCTTGAATTCGGTCGGTAGACCAGATCTTGAACTCACAGAGATCCGCCTGCCTCTGCCTCCCGAATTTAAAGACATACGCCAGCATACCCCGGCAGTCTTAAACTCATCTTTACCCTTAAGGCACAAGCTATTTATTTCTTCCGTGCTTGGCCCACCTGCTCGCTCAAAAAGCTCTAGGGGAAGAGTCAGGACCCCAGGCACCCGCCCCCCCCCCAATCGCTGCTGTAGGTACCTACCTTAGGTCATTCTTGAGTTCCACGACCACATCCTTGCCCACGAGGGATTTGAAAAAGGAGTAGAAGAGCTATGGAAAGAGGCAAGGGGAAACTATTACATGAAAGGCACAGGAGGAGGAACTCTGAAATCCTACTCTTTGTGGCCCCACCGACCCTAGTATCTCAGAAGTCCACGACCCACAGTCATCTATCTCCTCACAGACACTCTGCAGTTCACTAGGCCACAGCCAGGGACTACCCTGTACCCCTCGATGCCCGGGCCCACTCCCGTAGGGAATCTGCACGTTTTCTCCACCCGCACCCTCAAAAAAATCCCGATCTCCCGCGGGGAAATGCAAGGCTAGCTTTCCGTGCTCCCGCGGTGCCCGCGGGCTTTCTCGTGGATTTGCTGGAAGTTCTCCCCAAAAAAGCATCTGCGCCGGGTAGCCCCCTCAAACTGGGGTGCGGGCACCAGGGCTGTCGGGGGAAGCCTGGGCTGCCGGCCTGCCCCAGTTCAAACTGCCCGCGGCGGCGCTCCCTTTTGACGTCACGGTACCCACCATGGTACTGGCGCCACGCGCTGCGGCCTGGACCGCGAAGGAAAGGGCCGAGGGCTGCGGGTCAGAGGCCGGGCGGGAGCCCGAGCGCGAGCCCGCGCGTGGGGCGGGACGGGATCACGCAGGCGCCAGGGGGAGCCGCGGGAAACGCCGGCTCGAGAGTGCGCAGCCGGATCCGGGCGCTAAGGCAGCGGAGGAGGGGAGAGCGGAGAGGACCGCCAAACCGAAAGGAGGGCGGGCCTTCCTGTCTCCCACTTCCTCTCGGGCAGCCGCGTCCTACTGCGCATGCGTGGCCCTAGCAGTTGCGCGTTCCAGGTAGTTCGCCTCTCTCCTGGATTATTTTGGTGTTTAGCGTTTTAAACGTGATTAACCCATAATCACCCATAATCACGTTGGGAAGCTTGAGAAAACTATGATTTGCATATTCTTTGATGAGTGGAATTTAAAATGTTACTAAGACCTGGCAGGTGCCCTCCTGGAATCCTGGAGAGAGCTAAGTGAGACGATTCTGCTATAGAGGTCAGCTGGAGCTGCCATAGCAAGACCTGTGTCGAGGGAGTAAAACACACATCAACAGACACTAAATATGCTTTGTGTGGTGTGTGTGTGTGTGTGTGTGTGTCTGGGATTTAAGGGAGAAAAATAAGGGGAACCTGAACACAAATCCTGATTTTTTTTTTTTTTTGATTTTTCGAGACAGGGTTTCTCCGTAGCTTTTGGTTCCTGTCCTGGAACTAGCTCTTGTAGACCAGGCTGGCCTCGAACTCACAGAGATCCGCCTGCCTCTGCCTCCCGAGTGCTGGGATTAAAGGCGTGCGCCACCACCGCCCGGCCTGATTTTTTTTTTTTAAAGATTTATTGTGGCCAGGTGGCGGTGGCGCACGCCTTTAATCCCAGCACTCGGGAGGCAGAGGCAGGCAGATCTCTGTGTGTTCGAGACCAGCCTGGTCTACAAGAGCTAGTTCCAGGACAGGCTCCAAAACCACAGAGAAACCCTGTCTCGAAAAACCAAAAAAAAAAAAAAAAAAAAATTTATTGTGTATACAGTGTTCTGCTTGCACACCAGAAGAGGGCACCAGATCTCATTACAGATGTTTGTGAGCCACCATCTGGTTGCTGGGTATTGAACCCACGTCCTCTGGAAGAGCAGCCAGCCTACAAATCCTGATTCTTTTTTTTTTTTTTTTTGGTTTTTCGAGACAGGGTTTCTCTGTTACTTTGGAGCCTGTCCTGGAACTAGCTCTTGTAGACCAGGCTGGCCTGCCTCTGCCTCCCGAGTGCTGGGATTAAAAGCGTGCACCACCACCGCCTGGCCAAATCCTGATTCTTATCAAAATTCTCAGCAAGCAAGTTCCTGTCAATTTCAGCCTTACGTAGGATTTGGGGGACAGGGTTTTCTGGAGCTTGAAGTTACACATTCTAAGCAAACCACCGACGAGCAACCCCAGCTGTAGTGTCCATATTTTTTTTACTGTAGCTCCATGGTAGAAACGGCATTTTATTTTTAGCTTCTATGTGTATGGGTGCATTTGCCTGCCTGTTGGGTCTGCACTCTGAGAGGGGGTAAGAAGTGGGCTTCAGATGCCCTGGGACTGGAGTTAGAAACTGTTGTGAGCCCCTTTGTGGGTGCTGGGAATAAAATCTGGGTTCTCTGGAAGATCAGCAAATGCTCAATCTCTGAGCCAACTCTTCAGCCCTGAAATATGTTCTAATACCTCCAAATATGTTGGATGTTCTGGGAACAGCATTAACAGGCTCGAAACCTTCCAGTTGTGAAGAGGCTCACAAGAGCTGGCTGATAAAAATGGAGAATTTAATAAAAGATACCACAAAAGCCTCAGCAGGAAACAGATGCAGAGACCGACAGCCAAACAGGCAGAGCTCCAGGAATCCTTCAAAAGAGAGGGAGTGAGGACTGTAGGAGCAGAGGGGACAAACCCACAGCACCAACCGACATGGGCATAGAGGCTCACAGAGACAGCTCACAGCCAGGGAGCCTGCAGGGCACTGACCTAGGCTCTCTGTGTCCAGTTTTTGTTGTTTGTTTGTTTGTTTGTTTTTCAAGACAGGGTTTCTCTGTCGCTTTGGAGCCTGTCCTGGAACTAGCTCTTGTAGACCAGGTCGGCTTTGAACCACCTGCCTCTGCCTTCTGAGTGCTGGGATTAAAGGCGTGTGCCACCACCACCACCTGGCTCACCTTGTCCAACCTTAATATGAGGGGAGGTGCCTAGCCTTTTTTTGTTTTTCTTTTTTTCAGAGACAGGGTTTCTCCGTGTAACAGCCCTGGCTGTCCTGGAACTCACTCTCCCCCCCCCCACCATCCCTGCCCAGCTAGGTGCCTAGTCTTATTGCAGCTTGATATGCCATGTTTGGTTGATATCTGTGGGGGTCTGCCCTTTTCTGAAGGGAAATGGTGGAGAAGTGGATTGGGGGTGGGGGTGATCGCTGCTGGGTAATACATGAGCTGAGGAGTAAAAAGTCAAGTTCCCAGAGAAGGCGCTGCTGGGGAAGGAATAGCTTTGTTGTTTTTCATAGTAATTAAGGTTGTATCTGGTGGGACACGTGTATGGGAATCGTGTTTGGATTCACAGGGATCGTGTTTGGATTCATAAGAATCATGTTTGGATTCATAGGGAATCGTGTTTGGATTCATAGGGATCGTGTTTGGATTCATAGGGATCGTGTTTGGATTCATAGGGAATCGTGTTTGGATTCATAGGGATCGTGTTTGGATTCATAGGAATCGTGTTTGGATTCATAGGGAATCGTGTTTGGATTCATAGGAATCGTGTTTGTTTGGATTCATAGCAATTGTGTTTGGATTCATAGGGAATCGTGTTTGGATTCATAGGGATCGTGTTTGGATTCATAGGGAATCGTGTTTGGATTCATAGGGATCGTGTTTGGATTCATAGGGAATCGTGTTTGGATTCATAGGGAATCGTGTTTGGATTCATAGGGATCATGTTTGGATTCATAGGAATCGTGTTTGGATTCATAGGGAATCGTGTTTGGATTCATAGGGAATGGTGTTTGTTTGGATTCATAGGGAATCGTGTTTGGATTCTTAGGAATCGTGTTTGGATTCTTAGGAATCGTGTTTGGATTCATAGGAATCATGTGTAGATTCATAGGAATTGTGTTTGTTTGGATACATTGGGAAACGCTGTTTTGATGAGTGTTTTGTATTGTCTCCTCTTGAGGCTGGCAGTAGGTACAAAAACTCTGAGCATCTGGCCTGCTGATTACAGGGTAGAATTCTCTACAGTGTGCCAGGATGCCAAAGTAGAAGGTAGCCAGGGGGTCTCGTGTGTGTGTGTGTGTGTGTGTGTGTGTGTGTGTGCGCGCGCGCGCACAGGGAGGCTGGAGCATGCAGGCCTGTGCAAGCCAGAGATGGACAATGGGTCTTCACTTTCCACCTTGAGGTCTTTTTTTTTTTATGTGTAAGAGTGTTTTGTTGCATGTATATGTAGCATGTCTGCAGTGCTCCCAGAGACCAGAAGAGAACGTTGATCTTCTGGAGTTATAGACAGTAGCTAGACACCATAGAGGTTCTGGGAATCAACCCTGATCGTCTGGAAGAGGAGTGAGTGCTCTTAACCACCGAGCCAGCTCTCTATGGGACTCAACCCTGATGGTCTGGAGGAGGAGTGAGTGCTCTTAACCACCGAGCCAGCACTCTAGTCCTCCACCTCATTTTTTGGACTACACTCTGTCATTGATCTGGAGCTGACTGATGCATTCAGCTAGACTGACTTGCCTATAAGACCCATGGATGCTTCTTGCTCTGCTTCCCAGTGCTGAGATTACAGGTGCACATCACTGTGTTCGGATCTGGATCCGTCAGAACAGCAAGCTGGATCTGTTACCAAGTTCAGCAGAATCCTTCACACCTGAACCCAAATTAGCCTGTCATTGATTAGAAGCCGTCACCACAGTTAGCCACGGCTTTATATGGGGCCAGGGTGCCGGGAAATGAGAAAATACTTCTCTTGGCAGGTGTGGTATTCTGCAGTTCCAGCCATCAGGCAAGTGGGGGCAGTGTGAACAGGAGTTCAGAGCAGATCTAGGATACATGAGACCCTGTCTCAAAACAAAAACAAAAAAGGCAAAGTAATTTTTTGGAAACGCTGAACTTACACAAATCCAAGTACTTTGCCCATAGCAGGTTAATCATTCACAACAAACCAACACTCACAAGCAGAAAACTCACGTCCTCTGTGAGCTCCCTTGCTTCCTTTCCGAGGGACATTAGCAGCGTAAGATAACAGGAAAGAAGCTAGTTAAGGGAGGAGCAGGCTGCTTCCAGATAGGGAGAGTTTGAGGCTAACCCGGGCTACAAGAAACCCTCCCTCCAAAAAACAACATCTGGGCATGGTGGTGCATGCCTGTAATCTCAGAACCCAGGTGGCAGAGACAGGAGGATTGCTGCGAGTAAAGGACCAAGTTGGCCTCCATAGTGAATGTCAAGTACACTAGACACACACGGTAAGGCCATGGATACATGAGTAAAAAAAAAGTCAGAAGTTACTTCCTTTGGGATCAATTTACTGAGAGACAACCATCCACACAGGAAGGAGAAAGATGGGATGTGGCCGATAAATAACAGACATCCAAATTCTTCAAATGGTTCAGAGGGGCCTTGTTCTCCTAAAGGTCCATTTCAGGATCGTCGCCGAGAGGGTGGGGGCTTGAGAAGATGGAATACAGACTTCTCCGTCAGCGTCCCAAAGGATGGTGACTTAGGCGCGAGTCCAGCCTGTTCAGGAATCAATCGAGGTGATGTTGGGAGATGAATAAACTTCACCTGGAGGCGCCCTTGCACCCTGTAGTCCCAGAAACGGCTAATCTACTTCCTCGATGGTCGGGCCAGTGGCGGCTCTGCCCGGCGTGTACCCCGGCGCGCAGGTGGGCCCTGTGCACCCTCCCTGGTAGAGTTTGGTGATGATAGGGTTACACATGTTCTCCAGTTCTTTTCTCTTGTGATCCAGCTCCTCCTTCTCCGCTAGTTGGTTGGCCTCCAGCCAGGAAAGGACCTCGTTGCATTTATCCAGAATTTTCTTCTTATCGGACTCGCTTATCTTGTCCTTCAGACCCTCGTCACTCACGGCGCTCTTCATGTTAAAGGCATAGGATTCTAGGGCGTTCTTGGCAGCAATTTTCTCTCTCTGGCCCTCATCCTCAGCTTTGTATTTCTCGGCCTCCTGCACCATGCGCTCGATCTCCTCCTTGCTCAGCCGGCCCTTGTCGTTGGTGATGGTGATCTTGTTGGCCTTGCCCGTGCTCTTGTCCATGGCGGTGACGTTGAGAATTCCATTGGCATCGATGTCGAAGGTCACCTCGATCTGCGGCACGCCCCTAGGTGCAGGAGGTATTCCAGTCAGGTCGAAGCGCCCCAGCAGGTTGTTGTCGCGCGTCATGGCCCTCTCGCCCTCGTACACCTGGATCAGCACCCCGGGCTGGTTGTCCGAGTAGGTGGTGAAGGTCTGCGTCTGCTTGGTGGGGATGGTGGAGTTGCGCTTGATGAGCGCCGTCATCACGCCGCCCGCTGTCTCCAGGCCCAGCGACAGCGGCGCCACGTCCAACAAAAGCAAATCTTGTACTTTTTCAGATTTATCACCCATTAAAATAGCTGCCTGGACTGCTGCTCCGTAGGCCACCGCCTCATCGGGATTGATGCTTTTGTTGAGATCCCGCCCATTAAAGTAGTCTTGAAGCAGCTTCTGCACCTTGGGGATGCGCGTCGAGCCGCCCACGAGAACAATGTCGTGGATTTTAGCCTTGTCCATCTTGGCGTCCCGAAGAGACTTCTCTACAGGCTCCAGGGTGCCTCTAAAGAGATCTGCACACAACTCTTCAAACCGTGCTCTGGTGATGGACGTGTAGAAGTCGATGCCCTCGAACAGCGAGTCGATCTCCAGGTTGGCCTGCGTGCTGGACGACAGGGTCCTCTTGGCGCGCTCGCAGGCAGTGCGCAGCCGCCGCACGGCGCGCTTGTTCTGGCTGATGTCCTTCTTGTGCTTCCTCTTGAACTCCTCCACGAAGTGGCTCACCAGCCGGTTGTCGAAGTCCTCCCCGCCCAGGTGCGTGTCGCCCGCCGTGGCCTTCACCTCGAAGATGCCGTCGTCGATAGTCAGGATGGACACGTCGAACGTGCCGCCCCCCAGGTCGAAGATGAGCACGTGCCGCTCTCCATGACTTCCTTTATCCAAGCCATAGGCAATGGCAGCAGCTGTGGGCTCGTTGATGATGCGCAGCACGTTCAGACCCGCGATCACGCCCGCGTCCTTGGTGGCCTGCCGCTGCGAGTCGTTGAAGTAGGCGGGCACCGTGATGACAGCATTGGTGACATTGTGGCCCAGGAAAGCCTCTGCAGTCTCCTTCATCTTCGTCAGCACCATCGACGAGATCTCCTCGGGGTAGAAGGCTTTCTTCTCCCCTTTGTAGGACACCAGCACCTTGGGCTTGCCCCCTTCGTTGATCACTTGAAATGGCCAAAGCTTCATGTCCGACTGCACAACAGGATCGTTAAACTTCCTGCCAATCAGACGCTTGGCATCAAACACGGTGTTCTGTGGGTTCATGGCCACCTGGTTCTTGGCCGCGTCGCCGATCAGCCGCTCGGTGTCGGTGAAGGCCACGTAGCTGGGGGTCGTGCGGTTGCCCTGGTCGTTGGCGATGATCTCCACCTTGCCGTGCTGGAACACGCCCACGCACGAGTAGGTGGTGCCCAGGTCGATGCCTATGGCCATTCCTTTATTAGCAGCCATGGTTTTCCGAGCCCTGTGGAGAAATGAGATTTTATAATCCTATTTAGGGGAGTGATTTTTTTTCTAATAAAACTTAAGCTATTTTTCGACTGGTAACTTTTTCAAGATTTATTTTTAATTGTGTGCGTGTGTGCATGTCTGTGTGGGCATATGCACACGAATGCAGGTGCCTGCGCAGTCAGAGTTGTGAACTGCCCAGTGTGAGCAGGCGCTAGGCCCTGAATTCAGGTCGTCTACAAGGACGGATGTGCTCTCGATGGCTGAGCCCTCCGTAGCCTCAGTCAGCTTATTTTTTTTAATGTTTAAAAATTATTTTGTGTATGTACATTTTGTCTTTATGTATTATGTTCCCAAGGAGGTCATGAGAGGGCATCAGATCCCCTCAGACTGCAGTTACTGTTGGAGCCACCATGTGGGTGCTGGGTATTGAACCTGGATCTTCCGCAAGAGCAGTAAGTGTTCTTAACTGCTGAGCCAACTACCAGCTTCATCAGTCTTGTTAAAACCACAAGCATGGGGGCTGGAGAGATGGCTCAGTGGTTAAGAATATTGCCTGTTCTTCCAAAGGTCCTGAGTTCAATTCCCAGCAACCACATGGTGGCTCACAACCATCTGCAATGGGGTCTGGTGCCTTCTTCTGGCCTGCAGGCTTGAAGATAAACACACCCAGTCTAACTGGCTTCTTCTGGACAGAAGGAAACCCTACACAAGGAGATTGTAAATGTTCTTGGTTTTGTGTTTGCTGCTGTTTTGGTGTGGGGTATGCACAAACATGTGGATTCAAGGGGACAACCCTGGACTGAAACCCTGGCCAGTTAGATTATGCTGGCTGTCCAGCAAGTGAACCATCTCCCTTACCCTATGATCACAGGCGAAGACCACCATGCTCCGTTTGTTCTGCTATGTGGGTTCTGAGGATTGAACTCGGGTCCTCATGCTTGTGTGCCAAACACCTTCCCCACTGAGCTATCTCCTAACCTCTCAATGGGTTGTTTTGGGTTGTTGTTTAATTTTTTTTTAAGGCAGTAGCCCTGGTTGGCCTGGAACTCACTATGTATCCCAGGCTAGCCTCAGACACGGCAGCTATTCTCCCTCAGGTTCCCGAGTGCTGGGGTAACAGGCATGAGGTTCTTCACTACTGCCTGAGCTGTCTCAGACGTCCTACAACTCGGTGCTTTCCCTCTTGTAAGAAACAGGACACCAACAGAGACAGGTGCTAGGCCTCAACTTTAAAGGTGTCTGATGCTATAGTTTATGTACCTGAGTTTCCACTCTGAAAACTATCAAATACACGTCAGAATGCCCGCTCCACTTCCTTTAGCTGTCTTTCGTCTTTGAGATCACCTTCAGGTTCATTTCTGGGTTTCGTCTCCTGTGTACTGGGGTGCGACCCAGGGCCTTGGGGATGCTACAGCCGGACAGGCTGGTCAAACACCAACACCACGATGCAGGAGTATACACAGGCCACTTTCTGCTGCCAGACTGGCTCCTGTTTAGTCTGAACCTTGCCCCAGTAGGCTTGATTAAAATCCTGAGGTCAGTAATGAACCTTCGCCTATATTCATTTTGAAATACTCATTATAACAGGAATTCTTTTCAAATGGGTCTCCTTCTGTTCTCTTTGCTGGGTGGTGCTTACAGTCCCTTGGCTCAGACTCCACAGTAGCTGGGAGTAGCGATTACCCTGACCTTTGCTCTGTTTCTCACCGTGAGTGGAATGTTTTAGGGATCTGTCTACCCTTACCCCACACAGCTGGAATTACACCGATTTGTCCGTGGATGGCTGGCCTTATTTCACTCAGCGTAATGTCTTTAGTTCTCATCCATGAGCTTGCATATTTCGGTCCTTCTAAGACTGAACACTGTCCGTCCGTTTTATGTGTCTCCCACCCTTTCCTTCCACATTCATCTCTGCATAGACCCAAGCTGCTTCAGCTTCCCCACTGTTGTGATTAGCGCTGCTGCTAACAAACATCCACGCACAGGTCAAGCGCTCACGTGATGACTGCAGACAGCCGTGTTCTCAGCTAGCATAGATTTGCATACGCACCAAGTGCTTACGTGATTGACAGACAGCAGTGTTCTCGGCTACTCCGAGGATGGATGGAAAGCGGTTTATATTCCCCACTCCTCCCAGGCCTAAATCAACTGTAGTGCTCCCATGACGGTGATATGTTTTACTGTGGGACCATAACTGTCTACCTGTCTCCTAAGATGGTGTTCTGAACTCCGCAAAAGGTATTAGGGGCCAAAAGGTATGTGGTGGCACACACCTTAAATCTCAGCACTTGGGAGGCAGAGGCAGGCAGATCTTTGTGAGTTCAAGGCCAGACTGGTCTACAGAGCGAGTTCCAGGTTCTAAAGCTACACAGAGAAACCCTGTCTCAAAAACACAAACAAACAAAAGATATTAGGAGCCAAAAAGATGGCAGTTAAGAATGCTTCCTATTCTTCCAGAAAACCTGGGCGTGGATCTTGGCACCCACACTGGCCTGTTACACCAGCTCCAGTGGATGAGACAGCTGCTTTTCCTCTCTGGAGGTGCTCACACGTACAACACACACTCACACAAACACAGACAAACCACTGCTTAAAACAGACAGGCACTAGTCTCCATGGAGACGTGCCTTTCTGAGCAACCTGTGATGCAGTAATTTAGCTCACTCTGAAGGGCTCTGCTAGGGCACCCCAAACAAGGCTTATTTTACTTCTAGGATAGGGGTCTCACTATATAGCTCAGGCGATGTCCCTGCCTCCATTCCTAAGAGTTGGGCTTAGAAGTTTGAGCCACCACGCAGCCTCCATCAACTTTTCTGAGAAGGAAGGCACAACAGGGAGATTTTCTATATATTTTTAGTACAAAATCCCACCCCCGTAGCCATGCTGTCTCGACATCTTCCGAGCCGGGATCGCAGGCACGCATCTCTACACCCAGTTTCTATCCTCTTGCTTGTAACTCCTGTCTTCTGCCAGTAACATATTCAAAAAGGTCTCAAGGGGTGTCTGCTCCCGATTCTGACTCAGGCTAATTCCAGCCACCTGTCCCCAAGAGACACTCTTTTCCTGGTTGCCAACCCCCACCCCCAAAATGGAAACAACTAGGGTCTGTGTGGGGAAGGCCACACTAGTAATCCCAACGCTCAAGACGCATAGGAAACGCGGGTGCCTCTAGCGGTTGCCTGTAAATTAATCAAACCTAAGGAATGTCGAGGCCCTTCTTCATATAAGGACTAACTGGGACAAACAACCCTCTGCCCCGTTCCAATAAGAGCCTTCACGGCTCACCTGGAATCTCTCCGCCTTCGCTCCAGTTTGGAAAACTTGAGGTCGCTGAGCCCCTCTGAGTGGGAAGCTCCAGGTACATTCAAACTGCACGCAGCTAGGGTCCCCCCCACCCCCCACCCCGCCCCTCCCGGCAACTCTGAGCCTGTTCTGGGACTGAGTCTCTGATTCCTAAATTAGTCCATGAGGTCAGCGGCAGCATGGCCATTGTAACGCGACTGCAGGGGACCACGTCACCAGACACGCCCCAAAGCCTATCCCTCGGTCACCAGAGAGGAGGAGGGGGAGTTACAGCCCACAGATCGACCCCCAAAATCAGAACTGCGCCAGAGAAACCCCCCGATATCACAACCAAGAATCCACAGCACGGAGCTAGCGTGACCTTCCCAGTCATTCCACGGAAGCTGCTGTAATGTGTCGCCATGGCAACAGTGACAGCAGCACGGCCCGCCGCCCTCCCCCCAGGAATCCGGCCTCTCCAGCGAACCCCAGAAGGGTCTGGAGAGTTCTGGACAGGGGCGGCACCCTCCTCAGCGATTACTCAGAGGAGACGGGGAGGCTCCACCAGACGCGAAACTGCTGGAAGATTCCGGTCCCCACGGCAGCCTCCGGCTCGCTGATTGGCCCAGGGGACAGCGGGTGGGGCCGCAGGACGCCGCATAAAGGCGCAGGGCGGCGCGCAGGGCTCCAGACGCCGCCTGAGGTGCAGAAGGAATCTCAGGTTCCCTCGCAGCGGAGAGAAGCGAAAGTGCGCGTTCCCGACCTTCAGGACCCTCGGTCAGGACCAGCTTTTCCCGGAGCATCCCCGCCGCAGAGCAGAGCGCAGCCTCGCAGGAGCTGAGCGCAGAGCCCCGGCAGTAGAGAGAGACCGAGAGCGAGAGCGAGCGAACGAGAGAGCCATGGCCAAGAACACGGCGATCGGCATCGACCTGGGCACCACCTACTCGTGCGTGGGCGTGTTCCAGCACGGCAAGGTGGAGATCATCGCCAACGACCAGGGCAACCGCACGACCCCCAGCTACGTGGCCTTCACCGACACCGAGCGGCTGATCGGCGACGCGGCCAAGAACCAGGTGGCGCTGAACCCGCAGAACACCGTGTTCGACGCGAAGCGGCTGATCGGCCGCAAGTTCGGCGACGCGGTGGTGCAGTCGGACATGAAGCACTGGCCCTTCCAGGTGGTGAACGACGGCGGCAAGCCCAAGGTGCAGGTGAGCTACAAGGGCGAGAGCCGGGCCTTCTACCCCGAGGAGATCTCGTCGATGGTGCTGACGAAGATGAAGGAGATCGCCGAGGCGTACCTGGGCCACCCGGTGACCAACGCGGTGATCACGGTGCCCGCCTACTTCAACGACTCGCAGCGGCAGGCCACCAAGGACGCTGGCGTGATCGCGGGTCTGAACGTGCTGCGCATCATCAACGAGCCCACGGCGGCCGCCATCGCCTACGGGCTGGACCGGTCGGGCAAGGGCGAGCGCAACGTGCTCATCTTCGACCTGGGGGGCGGCACGTTCGACGTGTCCATCCTGACGATCGACGACGGCATCTTCGAGGTGAAGGCCACGGCGGGCGACACGCACCTGGGCGGGGAGGACTTCGACAACCGGCTGGTGAGCCACTTCGTGGAGGAGTTCAAGAGGAAGCACAAGAAGGACATCAGCCAGAACAAGCGCGCCGTGCGGCGGCTGCGCACGGCCTGCGAGCGCGCCAAGAGGACCCTGTCGTCCAGCACGCAGGCCAGCCTGGAGATCGACTCGCTGTTCGAGGGCATCGACTTCTACACGTCCATCACGCGGGCGCGCTTCGAGGAGCTGTGCTCGGACCTGTTCCGCGGCACGCTGGAGCCCGTGGAGAAGGCCCTGCGCGACGCCAAGCTGGACAAGGCGCAGATCCACGACCTGGTGCTGGTGGGCGGCTCGACGCGCATCCCCAAGGTGCAGAAGCTGCTGCAGGACTTCTTCAACGGGCGCGACCTGAACAAGAGCATCAACCCGGACGAGGCGGTGGCCTACGGGGCGGCGGTGCAGGCGGCCATCCTGATGGGGGACAAGTCTGAGAACGTGCAGGACCTGCTGCTGCTGGACGTGGCGCCGCTGTCGCTGGGCCTGGAGACGGCGGGCGGCGTGATGACGGCGCTCATCAAGCGCAACTCCACCATCCCCACCAAGCAGACGCAGACCTTCACCACCTACTCGGACAACCAGCCCGGGGTGCTGATCCAGGTGTACGAGGGCGAGAGGGCCATGACGCGCGACAACAACCTGCTGGGGCGCTTCGAGCTCAGCGGCATCCCGCCGGCGCCCCGGGGCGTGCCGCAGATCGAGGTGACCTTCGACATCGACGCCAACGGCATCCTGAACGTCACGGCCACCGACAAGAGCACCGGCAAGGCCAACAAGATCACCATCACCAACGACAAGGGCCGGCTGAGCAAGGAGGAGATCGAGCGCATGGTGCAGGAGGCCGAGAGGTACAAGGCCGAGGACGACGTGCAGCGCGAGCGGGTGGCGGCCAAGAACGCGCTCGAGTCCTACGCCTTCAACATGAAGAGCGCCGTGGAGGACGAGGGCCTCAAGGGCAAGCTCAGCGAGGCGGACAAGAGGAAGGTGCTGGACAAGTGCCAGGAGGTCATCTCCTGGCTGGACGCCAACACGCTGGCCGACAAGGAGGAGTTCGTGCACAAGCGGGAGGAGCTGGAGAGGGTGTGCAGCCCCATCATCAGCGGGCTGTACCAGGGCGCGGGGGCTCCCGGGGCTGGGGGCTTCGGGGCCCAGGCGCCCAAGGGAGGCTCCGGGTCGGGGCCCACCATCGAGGAGGTGGATTAGAGGCCCCTCCTCGCTCTCCCGGGGGTCCTCCGGGAAGCGGACTGATGGAGCTGAGGACTGCCTTTGCACTGTCTGTCAGGGTTGGTTCCTCCCTGCTGAGTTCATTTGCACTGAAGTTCTAGCCTTAGGGACACATGTATTCACTTTGTGCAGTAACTAATGTTTCTATATTTCCTGTAAGTCAGTACTCGGAGGGTGGGTTTTCCCCTATCACTGCCACACTCTATGATTTGTTTTGCCAGACTACAAAGTTGGAAAATATCCTTGTAACACCATATTGTGCTTATCTGATTTTGGCTTGCAATAAGAGAAAGACAAAGAAGTGTGTGTTCGTGTGTGTGTGTGTGTGTGTGTGTGTGTACGATGTTAAAAAGAAATACATTGTCAGTCATGAGCAAACACCTTCACCTCTGTGTGTTCAGTCCCAGCCTGGTCTGTATAGTTAGTTTCTCCATGGCTTGGGCTCTATAGTGAGAATTTCTGTCAAAATACAAAAAAAGAAATATTTTAAGAAAACACCAGCAGATTTTTAAGGTTCTTCTGTCTTCGGGTTCTGTTCTTGGCCCCATGTGGGGCACCTCAGGTCGGTGCCTTCCATAGGCCACGTTTGTCTTGTGCTGGGCTACGCTCTGAGTGCTTCTGGCTTATACTTGTGTGTGCAGGTTTGTTGTTGAGCTGTTGAGCTGGTTTTTCCAGTTGTTAAACTTGGAGGTGAATTTATTTGCCATCTTTTGTTCACTTTTTTTTACATATTTATGCTGAACTCAGGTCCATTTTTAGTGATTATTTGAAAATAAACTCAAAATAACTTAATGACAGTGTGCCTGTTGTCCTTGGAGACCAGAAGTCTCTACTGCCTCTCTGGTCCCCCTTACAGTCTTGTCCACAGGAGAGTGACGTTTTCTCTCCACAGGGGTCTGGTGGACACAGGGAGCATTGCACTGTGATCCATTTGTGTGAGAAGGAGGAAATGGGTCAGAGCAACAGAAACCCTCTGGGACTGAGGTATAGCTCAGTGCAGGAGATCCTGGGATAAATTCTCCTGGAGATGAGGGAAGGGTTTGGTTTGTCCACAAAAGCCCTGGCCACAGAGGCTTGGGCAGGGGATCCGGAAGAAGCCAGTCACCTAGCGGGGTGGGGAGGATGCAGAGGATGTGAGGATGGCTGGGGAGAGGGGGTGGGAGCTCACTTGGTGTATACAGTTCTCTAGTAAAGACGGGAAGCAGAGGGGGAAATATAGTAAAAGATCATAGAGAGTGGCCTTTAAATAGTGAGAATTGGCACCGCCTGTTGAGGATACAATCCCTAGTTCTCATCTTTTACTTAATTTATGTAGGGGGAGGCATGCAGATGCCAAGGCGCATGCAGGGGCCACAGGACCAGTGTGTGGGGCATGCAGATGCCAAGGCACACATGCAGGGATCAGAGGAGCACTGTGTGAGGCATGCAGTGCTAAGGCGCACATGCAGGGCCCAGAGGACCAGTGTGTGGGGCATGCAGATGCCAAGGCACATGCAGGGGCCAAGGCGCACATGCAGGGCCCAGAGGACCAGTGTGTGGGGCATGCAGATATTATAGCTCACATGCAATGGTCAGAGGACCAGTGGGGGGGGGCATGCAAATATTATAGCTCACATGCAATGGTCAGAGGACCAGTGGGGGGCATGCAGATATTATAGCTCACATGCAATGGTCAGAGGACCAGTGGGGGGCATGCAGATATTATAGCTCACATGCAATGGTCAGAGGACCAGTGGGGGGCATGCAGATATTATAGCTCACATGCAATGGTCAGAGGACCAGTGTGGGGGCATGCAGATATTATAGCTCACATGCAATGGTCAGAGGACCAGTGTGGGGCATGCAGATGTCAAGGCACATGCAGAGGTCATGCACTGTGTGGGGCACATGCATGATGAGGCACACATGCAGAGATCAGAAGATCTGTGGAAGCATGTTCTCTGTTTTCATTCTCTGCGTCAGTCCTGGGCATGGAGCTGAAATCTGCAGTGTGCCAGCAACACCTTCACCTACTGAAGCTTCTCTTGGGCCTTCACCTTCTCCTTCTGATGATTTGAATGGTGGCTCAGTCAGGCTGTTCTACCCTACTGAGATTATGTGCAAGATCCCCCCCCCCCATTTAAAAAATCTGCTTTTAACACAGCCTTTGAGGCAGAGGCTGGCTTGGAACTCACTATGCAGTCCAGTCTGGATTTGACTCCGAGGGGTCTCAGAACCTCAGCCTCCCAAGTGCTGCACTATGCACACGGATTGCTAT